ACTGAGGGTCGGAGAGGTTAATGAGGGTCAGAGGCCATGCACTCAGCAAATCCTAGACTTCTAAGTACTCCACTCTTAGAGAAAGTCCCAACACTTTAAGAAAGTCCCACGAGCACTGCTCTGTACTTTTACGGTATATATCATGAGACAATGCAAAAGACGGGGCCAATCAATGTTCTAGAGTCACACGGCCCATTGTGATAGCTGCTAGTCACGTTAGGTCACTGAGTTTTCAAAATGCACCCAGTCTGAATTGAGATGTTATATAAGTATAAAATAAACACTGGGTTTTGAAGACTTAGAATGAGAAAAACAATGTAAAAGATCTCATTAACACATTTATATTCATTACACATGAAATGATAAATATTTTAGAAATATTGGGTTAAATAAAGCATATTATTAAGTACACTTTAATTAATTAATTGATTTCACCTCTTTCTCCTTTTAAAAAATGTGACTTCCAGAAATCTTAAATTACATGTACTACTGATATTTTACTTCTGTTGAACAATACAGGTCTGCAGCATCAACTGAATCACGTCTTAGACTTATTTAAATAAAAGGTTTCATTATGTGCATCACCTCCAAGAAGATAGTTTTTCCTTCCTGAAATATTTTAAGGGCTTCCTCCTTAATTAAAATAAAAATTAGTGACATGTGGTTTTGTATCCTCAAAGAGCCCATGCAGCATCAAACAATTTTATTTAAATCAGGGAAGTAATCACGTTTCATCATGCCCTTTTAAAATGGCTCTTGTTCAAGCAAATATTCCTTGGCCAGGTTCCAAATCTATGCTTTTACACATATCTCATAACTGCTTTTAATCTTTTTTTTTTTGCCATTAATATTTAAAAAGAGGCAAATCGGAGTTAAGAGAAAAGCAAAGCGATGAGAGGAAATGTAGCAGAACCTACGGAGATGTTTTCACAATGCAGTGTGAGAAAAGAAATAAAACGAAGACAAAATATATCAGTGTCTTCAGGCTGCTGCATTCCTGCCTTTGGGGAGGAGGGGGGTTGGGGAAGGAGCTGTCAGAGCGGGTTTAGAGCTTTCCCCGGCACCTCAACTGTAGCAGGGTCAGAATTACTGAAGGCACAGCCCAAGTCACATAACTGAATGTGTGAAGAAACAGCTGCAGCAGGCAGGAATGTTTTGCTCCTGTACTTTAGATCCAAAAAAATTTTTTTAATGTACCCCCAAAGTTTGCCCTCTAATAACAGATAACATTGATTGGCACTGAGAAAATGCCAACTTTTTTTACATATCTAATCCATTTAATCCTCCCAGTAATGCCAGGAAGAAACGGAGACATAGCGGTGCCGAGTAATTAGAGTCACTCAGTGAGTAGATGGTAGAAACTAGATTCGAATCCAGCCTTCAGGGGCCATGGGCGAGACATGAGAACCCAGCCTCTAACCACTTCACAATACTGCTTCACCCAGCTCTCTCAACTAAGTTATTCCGTCTCTCCTAGATTAGGAAGAATCCAAGAGCCCAAAGCTAACACTTCTATATTCTTTAACATATATTATTTGACATTATCTGTAAATTACAATAAATTCAGGATGTCGAAAACTAAGTCAATCAAGGGCAATTTTTTATAAGACGTTGAAAGTCTACAACCTTAGAAATTCATTTTAACAGTGATCAAAAAAGAGTGGAAGTCAGTAAAAGGCAGATTTATCTCAGATTTTATCCCAGTGGAGTATTATAAAGGAACTAAGAGAATTCTATGAAGAAACTGGTTTTTGCTATAAGGCGTGACTAAAGAGTTGCATGCAAATTCCATCCCTGGCCCCACTGAGGAGTGTGAGTCCCCCTAATGTAATATCTCATACTTTTGGTTTTCTTCACACTTACAGTCTCTTTAAATATCTCTCAGCTCTTTATTTGTAAAATTAATATAACCTTATGGGGTATAAAGTTTAAACAGATTACATAAAATGCTTGGAATGATTCCTAATACATAGCAGAAGCTCAATAAATGTTAGTGGGTATTATTATTATTATTATTTTTAAAATATTTTATTTATTTATTTGAGAGAGAGAGAATGAGAGAGAGCACATGAGAGGGGGGAGGGTCAGAGGGAGAAGCAGACTCCCCGCCGAGCAGGGAGCCCGATGCGGGACTCGATCCAGGGACTCCAGGATCATGACCTGAGCCGAAGGCAGTCGCTTAACCAACTGAGCCACCCAGGCGCCCTTAGTGGGTATTATTATTTATAGTATTTAATGTAATAACTTATTGCATATATTTTAAAACTCTTTACAAATTCAATTTATTTGAAATGCAAAAACAGTTCACCCATTTCTCCCATCTTCCCATTTTTAACATCATAAATTATTGCATATATTTTTCTGATTGTTCATTCAACGTTTGACTTTCCACTACTAGAATATAAGCTTCCTGATGGCAGAGACAATGAACCACTGTGGCATACATCACAACTGTTCCCTGCTCTCTAGCTCTCCTCTTCATCTGGGCAAAGGAGAAGATTGTGCTTCCTTGCTTTCTTGGAGTTGCACATGGCCACTGACTTGTTTTAACCAATGAAATGTGAGCGAAGTGCCACTTCCGGGTAAGAGACCTAAAGGCTGCACGGAACTCTCCACTTCTCTTTCCCTATCTCAGTGAGTGTGAAAGCAGGTTTTGATATGGAGGTGCAACACTGAGGCCCTTGACATAGAGGATAGCTACTCTGGGAAATGACCTGGATCCACAGCAGATGTTGATGAGCAAAGAAGAAATCATCATTGCTTAAGTCTCTGAGACTTTGGGATGGTTTATGACAGTAGCATAACCTAGCCTACCCTGACTATTACAATCTGCGACATTCCCACAGCCGAGCATAAGGTCTGGCACCTAGTAACTGATCAAATATGTTTTCACTAAATTAATAAATTGGAAGTTTTAATCATTAATAAAAATGAATGATTTCAGTTAAAGAAATCAATCATTTTCAACTCTATTCTGTGTACAGTGAAAACCTTTGGAAATTTTAAATGATTCAGAAGTGGGGATCACCATCCTTTGTGTACCAAACCATCATCTTAGGTATCAAAATCAGAGTCACACATGCTTTGCACTCCAGAGGGGTTCCATTAAAGTTTTGCTGAATTTCAATTGAATATTTTTTTCTTTGCAGGGGTTTTGAAAAACCCTTATTTCTGTCATAGAGTTAGTTACTTAAATAGCCCTTATTTAAAGGCACCATTGCCTTATATAACTTTTACATATAAATATACAAATTTTAGTTTATACATAAAATTCATCTGTGTGTGGCCCTTGCCCCCATGACAACCACAACTCAGATACAGAAATTCTTCATAATCATATAGATTACACCAGAAATTGGAAAAACCTCAAGGTCAATAGCACTCAGAAAACATGTTTAACAAATTGAATTTGCAGTTTCTCTGGCCAGAGAGGAGGGAAGGGGGATAGGCACTTGGTTGTGATATCTTTTACTTCTCATTCCAAATTCCAACAATGATCAACAAAAACCAAGAACAAACACACAACCCCCCCCAAAACAAACAACAACAACAAAACAAACCATCAAAACTGTTAGTCCAGTTTAATCTGGTTGTGGAAGCAAGACGAGCTGCACAAGTGGTAAGGATGGGGTCACGCAGAGGAATGGACGTGGTCACAGGTACAGTGATAAGACCCAAACAAGTGACAAAATGAAACCTGAGGCTCTGGTACAGGAGAAAGAAGCCACAGGAAAAAGAAAGCTGTTCCCCAGGTCTACAAATGGTCCTGAGCTAATTAATTCTTTAGGAAGGCTCATTAATTCCAGTCACTTTCCAGCTCTGGCGACTAGGGGACCAGCAGGCTCCTACTAACAGAGATATTGGAGGTGATCTGGCATCTGATCTGATAGAGGTGTGAGAAATAAGCAAGTCTAAGGTGGTGGGGAGGACTAAGTGCAAGGTCAGCTTTGATCTGTGCGAACATACAGAAACTCTGGGCTTTGGAGAGGGAGTACGGGACAGGGGGTGGCCCGGGGTGCCTGGGCAGGCATGCTCTCTGTACCATTCGCTAGTTGTGTGGCCTTGGACAAGTACTTCAACCTCCCTGTGTTTCCATTTCCTCCCCTGAAAATGAAGGTATAATAGTGCCCACCTCAAAGGATTGCTGTGAGAACTTCACTTGGTTAATACCCTGTACAGCACCGTTGCCCAGCACACAACAACCACTCAGGACATGTTAGCCTTTGTTTTTAAGGCCCTGGTGCACAAACTGTTCAATTATGGGGTCCAGTCCTTACCAGTTATGTGACCTTGAGCACATTACTTGTCTTCTCTATGCCTCGGTCTTCTCGTCTGTGAAATGGAATAATAATAATTCCTATGTCACAAGATTGTTAGGAGTCATAATACCACACCTAGGAGGTTGCCTGGCTCAGTTACCCCATGATCACTATTACCAGACATTAGTATTACTTCCTTTTTTTATTATTATTATGTTACGTTAATCACCATACACCAGACATTAGTAGTATTTCTTCTGGTAGAAGCTGAAAAAGATAAAAGACATCCTGGCTCAGGCACCAGGAAGTGCAGCAGGGTTGAATGTGTGGGAGGGTTTAAAGTACACACAGGAACATTTGAAGAAATGAAGGAAAAGGTTCTCAAACTTGGCAAGGAATGTGTATTCTCTTTTGCAATAGTGGGGTCTTGGCTCTTCGAAGTGACGCCTAACAGGGCATATGCTCACCTGTTGTAAACTCGCATAAGGAAAGTTGAGATAAATTCCCGGGGGCAGAGATCCGCTCACACTTCTTTGCATCCCCTCAGTTCCCAGCACGGTGCTAGACGCCCCGGACCTTTGCTGAACCCCGTCAAAACTCGAGTCTCGCGCCCTGACTGTCCAGCAGAGGCCGCCCTGGGCCGAGGCTCCCGGGACCCGAGCGCCGGGAGAGGGGCGGCCGGGGGGGGTGGGGGGTGGCCGAGTCAGCGCCGCGGGGCCCGGGTGGGAGGGGTTTGGCTGGGGGCCGGCGCGGCGGCAGAGGCGGCCCGGGCTCGGGCGGCTGGGATGGAGCAGAAGCGCGCCGGGCGCCGGACGACACGCCGCTGACGGAGCCGCGCCGCGTTTGCCTCGCTTCTCCGCCCGCCGCCGGAGCAGCCGGAGCCGCGCGGGCCGAGCGCGCAGAGCCGCCCTCACCTCCCGGCTCCCACGGCCACCAGCCCGGCAGAGGAGGAGCCGTCCGCGCTCCGAGCGCTCGGTCAGCCCCGAAGCTCGGCACCGCACACCAGGGTACCATGGTCTGCAAGACTCTCTTCGCTCTCTGCATCTTCACGGCAGGTATTTGGGGGCGCCGTCCTCCCGGAGGGGCCGGGCGCGCTCTGGGCCCCGGTGGCCAGCGCTGGGGCTGGGGCTGGGGCTGCAGCGGGGACACCGGGAAGTAAGTCACCGCGCGCCGGTGGCCGGAGTGGGGGGAGCCTCCGGAGTTGCGTGAAGGTATGTGCGCACTTGGATTTGGGGTGGTGTAAGCCTGTCGAGATCCTGAGCCGTGCGGGACCGGGGGGATGACGGGGTCCTTCTGCCGCAGCCCGCGCCCACACAAACTCCGGGCTTTGTGGAACAGGTGGCTGCGCGACGCGTTCGAACCCCGGGTGGGCGACCCTGACTGGCGTGCGACTCGAGGCTTCTCGGGTCTCTGAGCACACCCTGCCAGAGTCGGGCAGCAGACTTCTTGAGGCGGTTGGACCCCGGGAGGGCCGGGAGAGGCGGGGAGAATCGCAATCTGGAAGGCTCTAAGCAGTGGCTGCGCGCGCGCCCGGGACTTGGCGGTCCCGGGTCTCGGGTCTCCGGCGTCCCTCCGTGGTTGCGCTGGGGATGATGCGGCACTAACAGCCCCACCGGCAGCTGCCTGAAGCCGGCTCGAGCTCGCGATCACCGCCTGGGTTTGCAGTTCTACCCTGTGGCCCGGAGCCTCCCAAAAATGTGTGCAGTGGCAGAAACTGTCAAGTTGGCTAGAACTGGCCCCCGCCCCCGACACCAGTTCTGGACGGCTTCCGCGCGCGCGCCTCGCTGCTCTGGGACCAACGGCGGCCTCTCTGGCAGGGGCTGCGGAGCGAGGAGCAGGAGGGCTGAGCTCGGCTTCGTGGGGGCCGGGAGACGTTCAAACAACGCTTTCAGTCTGGTGTTGGGCGCCCAGTTTTTCCAGAAAATGCAGCCCTACAAGGGACAACCGACCGTGGATAAGGCACCAGTGGAACGAGCAGCCGAGTGCGCGGACACTGGTATGTTTTCGATAAGAATGTTCCAAAGCCACATAGCACAAGCCGATTTGACTCATGCTTCTAGTCCGTGACTTTTTTCCTCCTGAATTGCTTGGGTTCCTGTTTTGTGGACACAGGTCGTTACAATCCCTCGAAAAGAAGCTAGGGGTTTCCTGGCCGCTCACAAAGGATAATGCAATTTTGAGGAAAAGTTTCCCAACGTAAGATTATAGCGTGTTTTGTTTCGTTTTTGTTTTCTTCCTTTACTCGCTGAAAGCCTGAGGAAAACCCCCTTTTCGTTTTGGTATCCGCACTGTTCTCAGTCGCGTCCTCAGACGGTCCCCGAACGATCTGGCGGCTTTGGCTCCGCAGCCGAGTGCCAGGATCCCAGCAGGTGTAACAGCCGCATCCCAAACCACGGGATTGCCATGTGAGGGAGTTCCAGTACCCCTCCCAGCAAGAGATGTTTACCACACGACATGGAAGGTGCCTTTACTTTCCTCCTCACTAGAAATCTTTCCATGAAGCCCAAGGCTCAGAAAACCTTGAGTGAGCCTGCAGAGCCAGTGGGTGGGTTTGTTGGCTAATTTCATCTTGTGGCTTGTCTTTAATTTTTATCGACAGCTCTGGCAGCTGGCTATACCGGATTAACCCTCCCAGGCAGTGTAGGTAGCAGTTTTTTTTCCTAAGGAGCTCAACAATTTTTTTTCTTGGTCAGTTTTGGAGCTTAGTCCAGCTGTTCTGGGGGTGAGAACATTGCCCTTGTCCGTCGCTGGAGTGAGGGGGCTGGTGGGCCCACTGAGCAGCCTCATCCATGCACACGTGGGGGGGGGGGTCAGAACCAAGACGATCACAGTCTCCCAGTTCTGGGGCTCTCCCGACCCCAGAAGACATAGTTCATGTTTCTGTGTAAGTCTTAAAAACAGAGCAATGAAGCTTCAACCATCCCTCTTTAGGGATCCCTGTGTTGTTAGAGCTACTGCAATAAATTGTGAGGAAAATAATATAAAAATTGGCATAAATACCTCAGGAGACTCTGCATCCCCAAAGTAGGGTGTTTTCAGAAACCAAAATATCATTTTTCTAGGGAAAAAAATTGCTGTGTTGGTAAAGGAGAGAGGGGTGAGGGTTCCTGCAATGAAAGTGGCCTGCGGGTTTCTGTGGCTCATCCCCCAGCTCCCTTGGTAAACCTCCGGTTGGTTTCACCCAGCAGTTGCTGCTCTTCTGTTCTCCTTCTCTTCCTCCTCATCCTCCTCCACTCCCCCCCACCCCACCTACTCTTCCTTCTTCTTTTTTACTCCTCCAGTAAAACTCTTAAGGTGATACTTTCTTGAGCCAGGAATGGGGTTTGGCAGGGGACCTTTTTTTAGCTTAATAAATCCACTCAATATATACATAGCATTTTTTCCTGCCTGTATAATAGATACTTGCAAATATGTGGTCATTGTCAACAACAATGATCTCTACATTTATTCACTTGTATTTTAAAAAGAAGGAAGAGAGAAAGCTTGGACTGTCTTCAGTTCTTTCAACGTTGATTGTGGTATGAACTATCATGGCTGGTTTACAGACCATTCTCAAACATCTCTATGTACAAGGCGCATAGGAATACTGCCTCCAAATTAAATTACAAGGCAGCACCCCCAAGTTTTGGCTACAGAACTGATGAGGGAGGGAGGATGGCAGGCCGAAGGAAGCTTCCATCTTCATCTCTCTCTCTCTCCCCTCTGGATTGTCTTCTTTTTTCCCACCACCATCTTTACTCCCCTCTGGTGTTCTGAGTCCCCATTTATTTAGAAACTCCCTCACTGAGACATCGGAGATATACTGGAACTCTCAAAAGGCCTTTTCCAACACTCAAGGAGGACAAAAGGGAAAGAAGCGTAGGTAAAAAGAGGCACAAACCCCATGATCCTACTTTCCTGCCCTGGATTCTGCCCTGTCTGTCCCTGCTCCCTCCGCAGAGAGACCATCACATCCCACCCCATTACCTAGGCCGATGTCTTGACCGTTGGTGATCAAACCCAAGAGAGCTAGACTCCAGTCCGCCACCCAGCTAGAGATCCTATCTGTGTTCTGGGCCTGTCAGATCGCTCTTCTCTGGGTGACTAACATCTAGAATGTCCTTATCATTGAAGGGAGACCCCACACTATACATGTACAGCTCTGTTGTCACTACAGATCCTGATATATGTCAATACCTTATCATAAGCATATTAAAGCCTTTTCATGAATCATACCATAAGCATATTAAAAATAAACCAAAATTGCCCACACATTTATGAGAACAGCAAGGTTGCCTGTGGTTGTTTGGGAGTGGGGGTAAAGGGTTACTCCCATTCCTTTAGCCTGGTCACCTCCCATTCCTCTGAAGTCTGTATCACAGTCCAAGAAGTGACACCTCCTTCCCATGAAATCTGACCTGAGCAGGTGGAAGCCCTTCATTGTTATCTGACACATATACTGAGGCAGTGTTGCAAAGTGGTAAGCCCGTAAGTTCTGCAGTTAGATAGCCTAGGTACAAACCTAAATTTTACTACTTACTAAGTGTGTAATTTAGGGCAAGTAACTTAACCATTCTCAGTTTTCTCATCCACAAAATCGGGGAAATAAAACCTCATAAGTTTATTGAAAGTTTTAAATGACTAAATATCCTCACAGCGCCTGGGACATAGGAAGCACTCAGTAAGTGTTAGCCACTGTTGTTTCTATTAATCTTATTAATAACGTTTACTAGTGTTTGGTACCCATTAGGTCATCCTCTCATAAGCAGAGCTTCTACATTTGTGCTTAGACTATGTAAATCAAAGATCTCAACTGATATTCCAGCACAGGGCCAGCTGTTTTGGCAAACCTTAATGTGCAAATTAAGAAAATATTCAGCTGAGCCTACTAAATGCCTAATTTGAAAAGATTAATAATGTGCCAGCTCAGATTTAGCACAACAGTCCAAAGGAATGCTTTGGAACGAATAGAAGTAGAGTCTCACGAAGGACTTTATTTCTTCCGCAAAGTCTTTTGGAAACTGGTGTGTTTCAGAAGCCCAACTCAGCTAAACCTTTAAGTCAGGTTCCCAGAGCCACAAATTTTAGATGATTCCGATCAAAGAACTTAGGAAAAGGCAGCTCCTGGTACCTGAATGATCCAGAACGGCTCTCTTGAAAGCCCGGAAGCATCAGTAATGGCCAGATCTCTAATGTACCTTGAGCATTTGGGCCAGGTCTAATTGTGCGTGTGTTTTTATAAGGAAAATATTGGCCAAGTATTTACCCTGTTTGACCAGACTTTCTTAAGCAATAATTTTCCCTGTGGGAGTGGGGAGGTGGGGAGGTGGAAACAATGGAGAGGGACATTTTAGAGATACTTTCAAAAGGGATTGGCTGTCTTACCTATCCAAATGAACGGAACCCTGCCATAGCATTTATAATAATTTGCTTCCTTTTGGAAGTATCTGTCACTTAATCTGGACATGTTAGTTTAGAAATCAAATATTTGCTTTGCTAATAAGATACTGAAACAGTTGTTTGGAAAAAAAATTAACGTTTCATTAGAAGACAGGGGCAGGTCTCAAAAGAGGTAGGCAAGTAGTAAGTATGTGCCTTAGGTAATGCTGGCTTTTTACTTGGAAATGCGGGGCTCATGGGTTATCGCCCAGTTAAGGTGACTATAAAATAAGACTGATTTGTGTGCGGCATTACTTTGCTTTTAGTCACAGCTTAAATTATTTAAATGACAGAATTCATGTAACAGCAGATTTTCCGATGTGTGGATCTTTAAACGTTCATCATCATCCTTACACCAGCATAGCCCATTTCTTTGACCTGTCTTTTACCTGTTTTAATGTCATTTATAAACTTTGAGACCTTGGCCACTTTTAAGTAACAGAAATCATTACAACAAAATAGACAATTAAATAATTATTTTCATCTGTGTTTTCCATTGGTGCAGAGCAGTATAATATCAATTGAAAATAAGCTGTTTTAATTTTCCTTTGGCTAGTGTTGCCAGATTTAGCAAATAAAAATACAGATTGCCCAGTCCAATTTGAATTTCAAATAAACAGTGAATTCTAAACATGTCCCACACAATAGTTGGGATACACTTAAACTAAGTAATTCTTCATGGTATATCTTGAATCCAAATTTAACTGGGCATCCCATATTTTATCTAGAAACCCTACATTTGGCCTTTCATCTGCGGTTCATCTCTACAATGGGTTTGATATAGGACTCGCTTTACCTTGAACCCCACCTCACCTAACCTTAGTTGCCCTGCTCCATTTCAGTCTGTTCATGGGAGACAGGGAGATTTCAGAACAGCTGTCTCTAGGATAGCAACTGCAAGGAATATGGTTCAGAAGCAGCTCTCCAATGAAACATTTTTAATCTGATTGCATTTCCTTTTTTTTTTTAAGATTTATTTATTTATTTTAGAAAGAGCATGCGTGCACGCTGGAGTTGGGGGGGGGGAGGGGCAGAAGGAGAGGGAGAGAATCTTGAAGCAGAATCCCTGCTGAGTGCGGAGCTGGAGTCCGAGTCCGGGCTCAATCCCAGGACCCCGAGATCATGACCTGACCCAAAATCAAGAGTCAGACACTTAACCAACTGAGCCACCCAGGCACCCCTCTGATTGCATTTCCATTAACTGTGCATTGTTATGTGTTTCTGAACATCTGGGATTTCTGTAAGCTTCCTGAAGCTACATTACCTTAGCCTCTTGTGACTTTTCCTTTAAAAAAAAAAAAAACAGTATACGTATTTTAAATGGTAGCAATGTTCTTGCCTGGGAGCTGGAACTAGAAGCCTTCTAGAATCCAGCTGGCAGCTAATTAAAAAAGAAAGTTATAGAATAGGTTTGGATTTCAATGCTCTTTCCGGTGCCAGGATCTTAATACATCTCACAAATATTAATTATATAAGGTTTACATAATTCCTACAGGGTAGGTCTATTGGTACACTTGAAATCTGTAGGTATAAAGCCTGAAGCAGCATATTAGAATTTCAAGGCCAATTGGGGAAAAA